AGGAGCAGTCTTCTTGCCTCTGGTGTGCCCACCGCGAAGCGTTTCTCCAGTTTTCGGTTCCATTTGAGAGGGCGGAGACCGAGCCTTGATCTCTGAGTGTTGTGAGGGATCAAAAATTGTTGAACGGTGTTGTAGGGAGTGGAGGACTGTAGTTCATGAGGCTTGGAAAGAGATGGCGGGCCAAAACAGTGTGGAAATGAGGAGGTACGTTCCTAACAGACCACCTGAAAATAATTTCATTTTTCTATGAGAGAGAGAGAGAGAGAGAGTGTGTGTGTGTGTTGGGTGCTTATGTAGATCAAGACATGAGCATCTCCAAAGGAGGTAGGGTTATATATAGATGGTTTTTTTATTGCTAATTATTTCAGATAATAATCGTCAAAAATCTAAGCAAAAACAACAAATTCATAGAAATTATACATGTTATCTTTCATGTCGCATTTGCTTCGAACTACAGAAGTTTAAATTTGACAAATTTTACTCAAATTATATGTTACACGTAAAATACGAATGAAATATTAATATTATAATTAACCTCATATCATGTCAAGACTCAAGATACTAAAAAATAATTTGTTGGCCAGACGTTAAGATTACTATTAACACATTAATTATTATTAATCTTGGTGTTAGATTTTTGTTTTGTTATTTGGTATTTTGATTGAGAAGGAATCGTTTCACATGTTCTTGTGGTTTTTCCCTCTCATGGTGATGAATGGGAGGAATCACTCCATGTGCTTATACTAACACATGCATCAAAGAATTGTGAAGGATGAAAAACGGAAATTCTGAGTGCTAATTCTATTTTATATTAGTATGGGTCCAATGGGATTTATTTTTGTACATATTTTAATTACAATATGCATGACAATTAGCAACTAATCGTGCATTCCTCAACCGATAATATTTATTTTAAACGACTGCACCGGGCATCTCTGTCTTTTCACACAATTGTATTAAACCTTTGACTTTATTTGACCAGCACATGCGTTCATGTGGGGCAGAGAGAGGCACACCCTCATCAGCACATTAGTCAATCACTTATGACATGGCTCTTGCATGCTGCCAGAGATATTTTTCAATGTTGCATAGAATATTAAGTGGTACATCATATTATTATATGAATGATTAGATATTCGTGTTAAAAAATTAAAAATATAAAAAAAATAAACTTATCTCACTTATATAATCATATGTGATGCACTAGTATTTTGAGTATAATGAAAATTTTCTTTATGAAGTTGGGTGGTGGAGTGAGCCCCACGACTGCTACGTAGGTGTAAACCTAAAGTGATAAAATGAAAATATGATATTGTAATGAAATTATATAGTATTGTTTGACAGTGCAATATGTTAAAAATAAAGTATGAGATTGCAATTGAATTAAAAGAGATAAAATGTAATTTATCTTTTTTTATTTCATCACAAATTACGTGGGCTCACATAATCTTTCCATGGCCCTATTTTATGAGGAAAACTAATGAAAATGCCTTGAAAACTTTGAGTTTTAATGATAAGAATAAAATAAAGGATAAAATGAATAGTAACTTTTTAGTGTAAAAATGTAGTTTTTCGTTGAAATAAACAGTAACTTTTCGTCAAAGTTCCTATTTTCTGCCCGGGGTCGCACACCTCGCACAGCCCATGGGCCAGCCCTGTATCAGCCGCCGGCGTCTAGCGCAGAGCAAGCCGTGACGGTTTTCCGTGGCTTCTCCGACTACGTGGGCAAGTCCTTCTTGGACAATTACGGGGAAATCGGTCCACAACAGATCATGGAAGCAGCCATCTCTGACAAAAAATTATCAAACTCTGGCCGTAATTATCTATTTAATCATACATTTTTGAGTCATGGTGTTAATTACTTTGGTTTCTGAATAAGTTGATTAGATTTTGGAACATCCAGATTCCGAACAAGTGTACTTATAATTTTCCTTGTGGACTGATTTTTCTGTTGTGCTCTAGTATTATATATCAATTTTCATTTTTTCTTCAACTTTTCGATTCAATACTGCTATTAGTTGTTTTTTTTTTCCGGTAACATAGAAGAAGAACTAATCTGGCTCTAGCGACTCCAGAGGTCATCTAAAAGAGTTTGAACTAAATAAAGAGAAGGCTCTACAAACTCTTGAAAATCCATCTCGCTATTCAATCCTGCTAATAAATTCATCATACAGTATGCTTAGTAAAATTCAAGTTTACAACAAATAATGTATTTTCCACCATTCAGTAAAATTCAAGCTTACAACAAATATACACGGCTCAGAATTCTCACCAAAATAAATATGAAATAATAAAAGCAACAAAGTACAGACTATTTGTTGAGTTTAAACATTGGCAGAGTTGTCATGCTTGAAAGGATGTGGTGGAGGAGAGGAAGGGAGAGAGTTAGTAGCTCCTGGCGGAGGAGCAGGCATCCCGTAAACCTGAGCCGTGGCGATCGCGTCCTTTCGCCCTCTCGCTCTCCCGAAGAAGTAGCACCCGAAACCAAGCAGTATGGTGAACAAAATAAAAGGCAGAGAGATCACCACCACCATGCCCATGTCTCCCTTTCTTGTTCTAGTTGCTGCTGCTTCTTTCACTTCTCCAAAGCTTTCCTCCTTCGTTTGAGTTCTGAATTCTGATGGGACTGAGAGGGAGTATATATAATTAGTAGTTTGTGGAGTGAAGTATGATGATCTGGAGGTTTCTGATTCTGTCCAGAAGAGCAACGTAAGTGACAGGAATTAAAAATGTGGGACTGGAAAACGGTAGGGTTGTAACGTTCGAATTTCTAACGGTCACTTTTTTTGGGGACAATAGAAACGAATAGAACGCGGGGCCTGAATTTGGAGAGATTTTTTAGTGTGATCGAAACACGGGATGGTACATCATATGTCATTATATAAGTTGTGAGATATGTGTGTTAAAAAGTTAATACCTTAATTACTAAAAAAATTCACCACTTATATAAAAATATGTAATGTACCACTTGTCTTCGCATCACAATAAAAAATTTCACCTCAATTTATTGCCTCAAGTGATCTGGCGGGGTTCAACTACCAATATGCTTCCAAAAGATGAAGAAAAAAAAGGAGCATTATCGTTGGTGGACGCTTATTATACACCTATTTGTTTATTATGTGTCTCATCTCCTAATCACACTTAACTTCTTTATTGAATAAATTTTCAACATTTGAGAAAGTTGTGTTGGTTACTTCGATGTGTTTTAGGTTTGATGTAAAAATTGGGAAGAAAGTTTGTATGATGTATAATCAACATGGATAAAATTACCACTTAGTATTACGGTTTACTGGTATTCCTTTTTACTTGTAAGTGAGATGTCTTAGGCCACGTTATTACTAGCTCATTGTGAGGTTAAACTCACTCACTCCCCCTTAGTAGAGATTATTTTGATGTGTGTTGGAGAGAGAGAGTAAAAGAGACGAGCAGCCGCCAGAGCGAGGTGACACGCCAGTGGAGCGGGGTGGCTTGTTATCGGGTGTAACATCCCACATCGTCTAGAGGAGTGGATCATGTAAGCCTTATATGTATATTCCCATCTCTACCTAGCACGAGGTCTTTTGGGAGCTCACTGACTTCGGGTTCCATCGAAACTCCAAAGTTATGCGAGTTCGCGCGAGAGCAATCCCATGATGGGTGACCCACTGGGAAGTTCTTGTGTGAGTTCCCATAAACAAAACTACGGTGGAGTCGAGCCCGGGATGTGGTGGGGGCCCGGGCCGAGATGTGACAATTTGGTATTAGAGTCAATCCCTGGGCGGAAGTGTGCCGACTAAGAGGGGTGAATTGTAACATCACACATCGCATAAAGGAGTGGATCCTGTAAGCCTTATATGTATATTCCCACCTCCATTTAGCACGATGCCTTTTGGGAGCTCACTGGCTTCGGGTTCCATCGGAACTCCGAAGTTAAGTGAGTTCGCACGAGAGCAATCCCATAATGGGTGACCCACTGGAAAGTTCTAGTGTGAGTTCCCAAAAAAAAAACTATGAGGGCGTGGTAGGGGCCCAAAGCGGACAATATCGTGCTATGATGGAGTCAAGTCTGGTATGTGGTGGAGGCTCAGGCCGGGATGTGACAATTTGGTATCAGAGCCAATCCATGGGTGGAAGTGTGCCGACGATGACGTCGAGCCTCTAAGGGGGATGGATTGTAACATCCCACATTGCCCAGGGGAGTGGATCCCGTAAGCTTTATATGTATATTTTCATCTCCACCTTGCACGAGACTTTTTAAGAGCTCACGGGCTTCGGGTTCCATCGGAACTCCAAAGTTAAACGAGTTCGCGCGAGAGTAATCTCATTATGGGTGACCCACTGGGAAGTTCTCATATGAGTTCCTAGAAACAAAACTGTGAGGGTGTGGTAGGGGTCCAAAGCGGATTATATCGTACTATGGTAGAGTCGAGTCCACGATGTGGTGGGGACTCGGACCGGCTTGTGAAATCAGGTGTAGGTTGGGGCCACAGGTTTGTTGTCCCATTTTTTGTGTCTCCATTGTGTCACTTTGTTAATTTTTCGACACTTCTTAACTATGTACAATGAAATACGTTAGCGTAGTCTTAATCAGAGGCAATCTCCTTCTCGATTCTCATCTCTCAAACCCTATTCAAGTGAGGAAGACTATTATGACGAGGATAAAGAATTAGACTTCCTGAAATTCGTACCTCTGATAATTTTGATGAGCCAAAAACAGAGAAGGGAGTTGGAAAAAAAATCCATACAAAAATGTGAGATATCACATAGCCATAAATTCTTCTGGAAACACCCCTCATTTGTTCTGTCCATACAAAAAGATTAAAAATTCTACAAATTATACCTATACTAAAACCCCAAAACCGCGTTACTGTTCACGGACAGTGCGCGGACTAAAATACCCCTCGATTTGTTTGTTAAGCCAAATTTTTGCCAACTTTTCCACAGTGAAAAGACTGCCTTGCCCTCGAAGGCCACGGGTTGATCCTTTCCTGTTTCGATTTCTTTGGATGCTCTTTCCTTTTTTCTAAATTGTTGTCGCCGTTCTTAGCCATTTTGGGATTAGCTTTCTTTATCTCTCAAACCCTAATTTTTCTCCCTTTTGAATCTCATCTCTATCCGCTCGCGCCGGTCAATCGGTTTATAAAAATTTCCTCTGTCCGGTCGCTGTCGCTGCTTCGTATAAAAAGTTAGCTTTGCTGTGGTGAGGCACGGTCTCGAACCCTAATTTTTCTACCTTTATGTTCTCATCTCTCTCTGCTCGCTCCGAACGGTTCGTTTGTAAAAATTCATCTCTGTGCCGTCGTTGTCACTGCTTGGTATAAAAAGTTGGCTTTGCTGTCTTCAATTCCTTTTTCGTGAGTTTTGTGATTTCCTTCTGTCTACAGTTTTTTTTTTTATTTATTTATTTTTTGATATGTTTACATGCGTTTTGTCTGTCAATTTTTTTTTCTTTTCTAGATATCGTTTGGACCGATGGTGTGAATGTGTTCTTTGGTTTTGTTTTTTATTTCAGAAGGTGTGGCTGTTTTTTTTTTTTTTTGACCCTTTGTTATCTGCTGTTGTAACATTTTTCATGATTTCTGGAACTTGGGTTTTAAACAATTGGAGTACTACTAGATTCTTATCATTATGTGCAAATTACTGGTGATTTGGATTGCTGCCTGAGATTTAGAGAATGGCTTAATTTCTTTTTGCTTCATTATTACTGTTTTCAAATTTTTTATTGCTGGTTATTGATGATTTGTAATCTGTGAGAGCTTCAATCTGTTGGAATTTTGGGTTATTGCTTCATCGGAATTTGGGTGGTCCAAAATTTGAATTAGAAGAAACCCATTTGATTAATATTTTTGGTGGATTGACTCTCTCTGTGTTTTCTCTGTTATTTCTTGCCCAGTTGGAAAGTGGAAGCCCCAAATTTGAGCTTAGAGCTTTAATTTCTTAATCATTCGTTTCTCTGCACTCTCATCAGTCAGTCTTGATACTCTCTCAGAGGAGCCTACATATTTAAACGTGTTGCTGGTATGTGATTCTCGCTCCATCTCATCTTTTTTTTTTTAATCTTACTGGGTAATTTTCAAACCTTTTATAGTAGTTTTCCAGGTCTGTTAAATAGTTCTCCATTTGATTCCAGTTGATTGCTTAATTGAGGTTTTTTGTTTCTGTTTTTCGCTCTTTCATTAGTTCATTGGCTTTCATGTTGGGCTTAAGGAAATGGGAAATCATTAATTGGCATTGTTCAAGATATGATTCTGTTTTTTTATTTATTTGTGAAACGATTTGGCTGATGAAGAAAGTAGTTTTTTGCATATAGATTACACACATATGGGCTGATCTATCTTTCCTAATAAATTTCCCATTTGTTTCAGGTATAAAATTTTCTCATCTATTTGCAAACAAGTTTGGGTATGTTCTTACTTCTCGCAAAATGTTTTGTTTTTAGTAATTAGGCAGGCTTAATGTATATGACATTATTTTTGTTTTTTGGCAGCAAATCACAGTACAAAGGTGAGCCAATTATTCTCATGGTCTTCATTTTTTATAATTTATTTCCTTGGTTAATTTATTAATCTTAGTGAAGGTGTAATTATTGTGTAATTAACTTTTTTTCTTGATTCTATTCCTTTTATTTATGTGATTTTAAGCGGTGGGAAGCTGTTGCATACCTTGCATGCAATAAGTATAAAATTTGATGTCTTTTTATGAGCTTTCCCAAACACCCCCCCCCCCCCCCAAAAAAAAAAAAATTAGTGGAAATGCTCAATCTTTTTGTTTACAAAGGATATCTCCGATTTTGGCTTGGGTATCAGGCCTTCTTAATTATCATCTATTAATCTTTCCATTCATAGTGAAGCTTAATTTTCAACCTGTTTTGGGGTGGCCACGTGAACCATTCTTTGTCTTTCTGTTCACCAAGCACATTTTCATCCTGAATGTTATTTGTACACTGTTTGTTTTTTCATGTGTGTCGATTTTGTTACCGATGATTTTTTTTATTGATATAATGTGATGATTTCTCTTGACAAATACAGGTGCTTGAAAAATTTCAACTCTGCAAGTTGGAAAAAAAAGGAGGGTTTCAAAATACTGTGCTTTCACGCTTTGGCGTCTTTGTCTTTGTGTTTGAAAGATTTCTGTACTAAAGGTGAGTGAGCTAAAATTTTGGAATTGTTAAGATCAAATTTTAAGTATTTGTTTCGATTTTGTTTTATAAAGTATGAATAAACTTGGTATTTCCTTTAACTTTAATTGTGTTTAAATTGAAATCCTAATTTTGATGGTTTGTTCATAATTTTTTAATGTTTTTATGTTTTGCTGTGTGATTTATGTGATTTAATTTTTTTTCACTTTTTTTTTTCTTTTTTTTTCCAATCTTTTTTTTGCAGCTCTTCGCTTTTCCCTCATAACAATTTGTTTTCAACATGTCTAAAAGATCTATAAATGCGTTGGTCAATGATGATAACAACAAAAAACAAACAAATAGTGATAATGAATATAATGTCTTGGTTCAGTGTGACCATCAGCCAAGAAAAGTGTGTAGAACCAGTTATCTTGAAAATCATGAAAACGCTGTTTTTATCTCAGATTGATACATTTCTTCGAACTCCATATTTTAAACATCAGTGTAGTAGTAGTGGATCAGCTGTTGTACAATGCGATTTGAAAAATGCTAATTATGATAAAGTGCAGCATACTGCATCTGTTGAAAAAATTGTTCAGCCTTCTGATCGAAAAGGTAAAAAACCTATTAATTTGTTGGATAATTCTGATAACATGGCTGAAACAACGATTGATCCTCAAAATTACAATCTTATGAACAAGGGCCAAGCATTCTTCCAGAAAAGCAGAACTGGTATGTTTTTTAATTTATATAAAAATATATTTCTGTTATCGTGTAAATTTATATTTAGTTTATTGCATATCTTTCCTAAGTCCCGTTTTCTTTCTTTTCTTTCCTGTGTATTTTTTTTGCAGGGGTTTTAAAAGATTATGTGGATTTTGGGGATAAGAATTATAAATGTAGTCACTGCGGTGCCTATTTTTGGTTGAAAGAGTCTCTTAAGCAAGTATGTAAAAAAGATGAACCTATTTTCACTCTTTGTTGTCAACAAGGAAAAATTGCTTTTCCAAATCCAAAACCAACACCGCCTTTTTTAGAATCTTTGCTTGATCCAAATGGTGGTCCAAAAAGTTTATCATTTCGAGAAAATATTAGAGCTTACAATTCTATGTTTTCATTTACTTCGATGGGAGCCAAAATTGATCACTCAATTAATGATGGTTCAGGTCCTTATATTTTCAAAATTAGTGGTCAAGTTTGCCATTTGATGGGATCTCTCTGTTGCCTGCTGACAATGAGTGTCCAAAATTTGCACAATTATATGTCTATGATACATACAATGAAGTGCAAAATCGATTGAAGGCTTTTGAATCTGATGGAAATAATAGAAAGCTTGATCCAAAAATTGTTGAAGGTTTGATTAAGATGTTTGATATGTCAAATGAGTTAGTTAAGCTTTTTCGAACAGCAAGAGATAAGTTTGAAACTAATAGACTCACTTCTTTGAAAATGAGATTATCAGCAAGAGAAACAACAGATGGTAAACAATATGACCAACCAACAAGTGATGAAATAAGTGGTCTGATAGTTGGTGATATAGGACTTGCTGATTCTAATAGAGATATTATTATTGAGTCTAAAAGTGAAGGATTAAAGCGTGTTACAAAATTAAATCCAAAATTTATGTCTTTGCAATATCCTCTTCTTTTCCCATACGGTGAAGATGGTTATAGACCTGATTTAAAATGGAACAAAAATTATAAGGGTTCAGAGACTAAAAGACAAAGGATACCCATGAGAGCTTTTATAGCGTATCAAATTCAAGAACGAGAACCATGCTTAACAACATTGTTAAAAGGGGGGAGACTTTTTCAACAATATTTGGTTGATTCTTATGCAACACTTGAAGAAGATAGGTTAGATTACATTAGGCAAAACCAAAAAAATTTAAGAAGTGAAGTTTACAAAGGAATTTATGATGCGATGTCAAGGGGTGATAATGATGCAAACAATTTGGGACAAAAAATTGTATTGCCTGCTTCATACACAGGGAGTCCTAGATATATGATTAATAATTATCAAGATGCAATGGCTATTTGCAGAGAATATGGACATCCTGATTTATTCATAACATTCACATGCAATATAAAGTGGCCAGAAATCATAAGAGAATTTCAGAAAAAACCAGGATTCAAACCTGAAGATAGGCCTGATATAATTTCCAGAGTATTTAAAATGAAACTCGATGATATGCTTCACTTTATAAAATCTGGAAAACCTTTTGGAGAAGTTGAAGCAAGTAAGTCTCTAAGAGTCCTTCTTTTCCTTTATTAATGTTTATTTATTTTTTTCTGACCTAACATAATTTGTTTTCTCTGTTTGTTTGTTTTCTTTTATTTTTCTTATAAACAGATGTTTGCACGATTGAATTTCAAAAAAGAGGTTTGCCTCATTCTCATATATTAATATGGTTAAAATCAAACTTCAAGTGTCATTCCTCATGTGATATAGATTCTATTATTTCAGCTGAAATACCGGATAAAATTGTTAATCCAAAGCTTTATGAAATTGTTAATCAATTTATGATTCATGGTCCATGTGGTCACATTAATTCAAAGTCTCCTTGCATGCGAGAAAATAAGTGTTCAAAAAATTTTCCAAAACCATATAAAAATGAAACACTATTTGAGCCTAATGGTTTTCCAATTTTAATTTATAAGCGTTGTGACGATGATACAAAATTTTTCATAAAAAATGGCATCAAAATTGATAATAGCTTTGTTGTTCCTTATAATGCAGAACTACTTTTGAGATACAATGCTCATATAAATGTTGAATCATGTTGTCAATCTATGCTTATAAAGTATTTGTTCAAATATATTAATAAAGGTTCAGATAGAGCACGGTTACTTCTTCAAGAAGATTCAAATGATGAAATATTAGCATATCTCAATTGTAGATACATATCACCATATGAGGCTGTTTGGAGATTGTTCCAATATTCAATACATTATAGAGAACCTTCTGTTGAGCGATTACCTGTCCATTTACCATTAGAACAAAACATTGTTTTCAGTGGTAATCAATCATTGGAATCAATTATTAATCAAAGAGCTTCTGAACATACTATGTTAACAGCTTGGTTTGAAGCAAATAAAATTTATAATGAATCACGCTTGCTAACTTATGCTCAGATGCCATCCAAGTTTTTATATGATGGACGACAGAAGTTTTGGAAGCCAAGGAAACGCAAAGGATCAATTGGTAGGATAGCATATGTGCACCCTGCATCTGGTGAGTTTATATTATTTAAGAATGCTTTTAAATTTGAAAAAAGGTGCATTGAATTTTGATGATATCAAAACTGTTAATGGTGTTCTCCATTCTTCATATCAAGCTGCATGTAAATCATTAGGATTATTAGGTGATGATAAAGAATGGTTAGATGCTTTATCAACTGCTACACATGTTGCATCATCTCCTCAGTTAAGACAATTATTTGTTACAATAGTTTTGTTTTGCGATGTTGCAAATCCTGAAATTCTTTTTGATACTCATTGGAAAAATATGTATGACGATATTTTATACAAGCTGCAAAAAACTTTTGCAATTCCTAATATGATTGTTCCGGAAGATGAACTAAAAAATTCTGTCTTATTTGAGCTAGAATTACTTTTTAACAATGCATCTAGCTCTTTGCAAAAACATTGTTTGCCAATGCCTGATGAAAAAAAGATGCTAGAAATAAAAAATAAACTTTTAAGAGAAGAATTAAATTATGATTGTCAAGAATTATATAGAAAACATGAAATATTGAAATCACAACTTAATGAAGAACAAAAATATGTATATGATACTGTTATAGATACTGTAAATACAAGAAAACAAGGATTATTTTTTGTCTATGGCCATGGAGGTACTGGAAAAACATTTTTATGGGATACAATTATAAGTAAGCTTAGATCTGAAGGCAAAATTGTTTTAGCTGTGGCATCATCAGGAATAGCATCATTATTATTACCAAATGGTAGAACAGCTCACTCTAGGTTTAAAATTCCGTTGGTTATTACTGATACATCAATTTGTCCAATAAAGAAAAAAACTCATCTTGCCACATTAATTGAAAAAACTGATTTGATTATATGGGATGAGGCACCTATGAATCATAAATATTGTTTTGAAGCATTGGATAAATCACTTTCTGATATTCTATCACATTTACATGCTCCGAATAACATTGTTCCATTTGGTGGTAAACCCCTTTTATTAGGAGGTGATTTTCGACAAATATTACCTGTTATTCCTGGAGCAAACAAAGAAGATATAATAAATGCTTCTTTAAACAATTCTTATTTGTGGCCACATTTTAAAATTTTTCGTTTAAAAGAAAATATGAGGTTGTTAAGAAATGATATAAGCATTGATGAAAAACAAAAAATCAAAGATTTTGCAAATTGGATTTTAAAAGTAGGTGATGGAGAAATTGATAACATAGATGCACTAAATGATTCAAATGACATTGATACATCTGTGATTGAAATACCTAAAGATTTAATAATCCATTCTTCCACAAACCCAATTGCTGCAATCTTTTGTGCAACTTTTCCCAATTTTGAAAATTCTTTTGACGATTTTGTATATCTAAGAGAACGAGCTATTATTACACCTCGAAACACAACTGTGTCGGATGTAAATGATTATATAACTAATTTATTACCTAGAGAACATCATACATTTTTAAGTTATGATTCTTTGTGTTCTTCAAATGGAAATTTTGAAAATCTTGAAACAATGTATCCTACAGAATTTTTTAAACAAACTTGATTTCAACGGTTTGCCTACACACAATCTCATTTTAAAAGTGGGAATGCCAATTATGTTATTACGAAATTTAAACCAATCTTTGGGTTTATGCAATGGAACTAGATTGATTGTGACACAATTATTTGATAGAATTATTGAGGCTAAAATTCTTGCTGGAACTAATATTGGTCACAAAGTTTTCATACCAAGAATCACTCTTGCAGCAACTGAAAGCAAATGGCCTTTTATTTTCAAAAAGACGCCAATTTCCAGTTAGACCATGTTATGCAATGACCATTAATAAAAGCCAAGGACAATCTTTGAAACAAGTTGGATTATATCTTCCTGAACCTGTTTTTACTCATGGTCAATTATATGTTGCATTATCTAGAGTTACATCAAGAAAAGGTTTAAAAATATTGATAGGAAATGGAGAAAACAATTTAAACAATTATACAAAAAATATAGTATTTAAAGACGTGTTACAAAATTTACAATAATTTGTTTATAATCATGAATACATATTGAGCAATTTATATAGTTATCATTTGATCACCTTCTTTTGTTAAATACTTTCTTACTGCTACATTAATATTCTTACCCACTTTTGTTCAACCAAATGCAGGTTACCTTCATTGGAACTACTGTTTTTAGTTTGCTTACATAGGAAATAAATGCTGCAATTGCACATTTATTTTAATTATGGTAAAGCCTCAAAACTATTCCATCTGCCTATCCTATTTTTTAATATTTCCTTAAACATATAGTATATATCCATTTCCAATTTTCTACCTAAATTAAAAAAAGAATTCAAACATTTTCAAAGAGATTAAACATGTTCTAATAAGCAAAGTTTTTACAATTTCTTTTTCAATGTATAGTGAGATGTTAACCTCTTCCTCCGCAGATTCAATGAAAAGAAGACACATGACAAATTCAACAACCAAGTTGCAGCTACAACAAATATGTTTAAGCACGGTATAAAAGCAAAGATTATTAGGTATGGCCTAAATCCTCAACTACAATGGAATGACTTAATGGTATGTTTTTCTTAACTTTCTTTTCTTTGCTGATTCCCGTTTAAATTCAATATTTACTAACCTTTCTCTTTAGAGGAATTCGTTGCTACCAATGTATGTATATACAAACGATCTTCTTTTTACCTAATCTGAATACATAGCTTATTCCTTGCTTGACCATTGATGAGTTAAGGGGGACATATGTACAAAGTATATCTTCAATGAGAACATCTTCATCTATACTTTTGTATGTCCAACTCAAACCTCTCATTAGACAACCAACCAATTAGCCATGTGTTCACAATACGTCAAAAGGAGAAAGTTTTTGTGTATAAATTGGTAGCAACCAATTCCTCTGAAGAGAAAAGATGGAAGTGATGATTATTTCTCCAAATGATGAAGGCTGAAATAACTCAGCATACTTTGTCTCTATATTACAAAGAGGCATCTAACTAGCTATATATCTGATCCATCTTTTTACATGTTTCACTTCACTTTTACAGATAAAATACTAATGAATTAACTCTTGATTAACAATGTCATTGTTTAAATTATTTCAAGTGTTGCTTTTATTCAACCTGTTTGAATTTTGCCATTTACACACTCCTATAGGATTTTGGATTTTTGTGAATTTTCAAGATTTTCCTTGGCTTCAATTTTTCTTTTTCAATCTGTCTATCATGTTTCCATTGACCATTTCATCATTTTCGCCCCACAGTAAAATTACAATTATCAATATGGATCCTACCAACAATGCATTGCCATATCGTTTTCATTTTTTTCCTGTTTTGTTATTTGTAGTTTTCGTTGTGTGATTAGTATGAGGAAAATCATATAAGATTTTGGTTTTTTGTGGGTTTTCAACTTTTTTCATGGCTTTTTGACCATTTAATTGTTTTTGGCTCCAAAGAAAATTACAGTTCTCGATTTGCATTCTTCCAAGGGTGCATAACCGTATCCTTTTCTCATTTTTGTTTTTGTTTTTCTGTTGTTTCTAATTTGCTGTGTAGCATTCTATTCCATGTACAAAGTTGAGCCTTTAATAAATTTAGTTATGAATGTTTTGTAAACATGGAAGACCTTATAAAACTCAATCATGTGATGGTGGAGCACTCTTTTGCTCCCAATTGAGGTTAGTGTTCTTTATTGACTCTATAAAAGTTCAATGGTTGGATAAAGTAAACAGAAGATTTTTTTTGGGTTTGTGAATGAACAAGGAAAACAACGGAAATATAGGAACTTATATTAGACTCTCAAAAATTTTCTTTAAAACATAGGTCAATTTTCTGTTTACTAACATCATAATACCTCTTCCTCTATTTGAATTTAATCCCTTTGTTCTCATTTTCTATACAAATGGTTCTGCACCTTTCATTCAAACTTGATCATTCTATAAATATCTATATTATTTTATCCTTTTGAAACATATTTTCTCATACATTTTCTAATCCCGCAGCAACGCGTGGGCACTATTTCTAGTATTGTACTAAGCGTGTATTGATTTGTTGAACATGTGATTTTGCCATTGTGATTTCAAAATTTATCTTGCATCAGTACCGGTCATGATTAGATATGTTTGCCTTTTTTTTTGTTTAGTCATGATCAGTTACTTTTCTTTTTTTTTAATCTTGCATCAAGTCATGATTAGATAAGTCTTTGATGAGTAACATAACATCCCATATATATTATTTGAATATTATGCAATATGTATTAATCCGTTTTATGAAATATTTTTTTATTAAATATCAAGGAATTTTGTTATAAATAAACGATATTATTTATACTAATACTTTTTTTTTATAGTAAAACTCAAATTTTAGGTTCTAAACTTATTCCAACTTACTCCAACCCTTGAGGCAAATATGAGTTTTAACTCAAAACTTATTTAGGGGCAAATTTAGCCCAGGATTTCCCATAGATTAGTAGAGCTGACTCATTATATATGTGTACTTTTTTTAGTTTCATATTTATAATTTCATTGAAGTCAATGACTAAGATCTAATATGATCAAATTCAATGGTAAAAAAAAATCCAACAATCCAAATTTAAATTTAACGGTTAAAGTAATTAAAAAAAATTATTTTATGTGTTTCATATTTTTTTCATAATGTTTCACGAGTCTCATGGTGTTGGTTTAGAGATTTTTTAATATTGATCAGAATCTAAATATTTTTAGATTAAAATGTTCATAAAATTAAATTATGATAGTCTACATTTTTTTAAAGTTACTCTAAGAAAAGAATTATCCTAAATTAATTCTTTAATACTCACGGCCTAAAAATTTAACCCAGAAGGGTAGGAGATAAAAATTGGGTTAGAGATGGTCTAAGAGGGAGGAGGTGGGTTGAGCCTCACAATAGACTAGCAATATTGTGGTTCAAATTCTCCTTTAGTGAAAATCAAACATGAGACCTCTCACTTAGAAATGAAGAAGAATACCACTAGACCATAATACTAAGTGACGACTATACCAAGGGATTGACTAATGGATTAACACTCTTGCTCAGTTGACAAATTACTGTAATTATGAAGAGAGAGACTTTTCTAACCATCACGGGATGACTTAGTGATTGAGGACGAATTCCAAATTCGTATTTCACACAGCACGTTCTGAGTTCAATTCCTATCAAGTGAATACTAAATTGACTGTGAATGTAGACTATCGTGACAAATCTACCAGCTAATTCTTTTGAAAAGAAAATAAAAAAGAGAGACTTTTCTCATTGTAGTGAATGAACCAAAAATTAATTTCAAGTTAGTGAATTCGATGTGGCATTTAATAAGGACGTCATTGTACCAATATTTCAAACTCATGACGTTTGCTATGATGAAAAAGTTTAGTTGAGTTGAATGATGGATCCACTTCGAATACGTGGGTGTGGACTATTAAATTGAAGGGACGTAATTTAAATATTCATAAGTTGGGGATGTGCCATGCAATTTTCCATTGTGACTATTATTACAGTTCATCAGCCAAATGGACCCCCGGCTTCTCTACTCTTAATTTCTTATACACTCTCATCTTCTTTGATATTGATTTTTTTTATAAAGGTAATAAGAAAAAAAATAATAGTAATATAAAATATTAACGTAACTTAATCGTAATTGTACAAATAAAAAAGAATGAGAGTGTATGAAAAATGAGATAAGAGATAAGTCAGATCCCAGCCAAATTCCCAAATTTCAATTTCGAACCTCTCCTTTCATTTTCTTTTATCCTTCCAAAACCCTCCTCTCCCACATGTCACGTGTATCTTCTCACTCACATTACTGTCTGCGACGACACTGACTCGGAGAAAGGACGCAGCTGACAGCCCTCCTCAAGGTTCACATCTCTTTCTCTTATTAATTAAGACCTGTTTGTTTCTCTGTCTTTCTTTGATTTAGCTTTCTATCAGAACATCCCTGATTTAAATTATGCGTCTTTTTCTGAAAAGCTTATTCATTTCCCAACCATGAATTGGGTTTTGTTTTTATTTAATAATTCGTGAATAAATCTGGGATTTTGAATAAATTGCTCTTGAATTTGGGTGTTCTTGTTCTCAGAAAAATATTTGGGAAATTTTGTTATTGGGTTTTGGATTCTGGGTTTGATCTGTTGGTATGCAAGATCTCTTTTTTTTTCTTTTTTTTTTTCTCCATGGATCATGGATGGTAATTTTTGTTGGGATTGAGCCCGAAGAAATCGTTTTGCAGATTAAAATTGCGAAAGAAAAAACACTCATAGGCCTCAAATCAGCAACAGAAGTTCGAACTGAAGGCAAATAGGCAATCGTTGAAATGAAGAAAGAAGGAACCGAGGAAACAAGCATGGAGATGGTGAAGTTGTTTTTGGAGAAAAAAGGTGAAATGGCAGTCGCCATGGATACTCTGCCGGACAAGTTCTTCGAGCCCTTTATCATGAAGGGCGTCAAAATCGACCTCCTTGAACCCGGACGCATTGTTTGCTCCTTCAAGGTGCCCCCGCGTCTGCTGAACGGGGGCAATTTCATGCACGGCGGAGCCACAGCAACCCTTGTGGATTTGGTAGGATCAGCTGCACTCCTCTCCTCCGGAGCTCTCAACGTTGGAGTTTCGGTGGAGATCAATGTGTCGTACTTGGATTCGGCTTATCCCGGCGAGGATGTTGAGATCGAGTCCAGGACGTTACGTGTTGGAAAAAGTGTTGGTGTTGTGAGTGTTGAGTTCAGGAAGAAGAAGACTGGGAAGATTATCGCGCAGGGCCGTCATACCAAGTACCTCGCTGTTTCTAGCAAACTGTGAACAGCTTGGAATTTGAACGAGACATTACTCGGTCAGTATTACGTAAAAGATTTCTCGACGTCGAATAATTTTCTCTGCAGTGAATTGTAATGCAAGCAATGATCAATTGAATCTCTCAGATTGATACAAATAGTTAACAATAATTTGTTAGATCGTAAAAAGATCCAATCTTCAAAGTGTAGAAAAGGTCGTACCCAGTGCACAAGGCTCCCGCTTCAAGCAGGGTCTGGGAGAGGTGAATGTCGGCTAACCTTACCCCCATTTATGGAGAGGCTGCTCCCAAGTCTCGAACCCGAGACCTACCGCTTATGGGCGAAGGCACTTGCCATCGCACCAAGTGTATTGCTCCCAATCTTCAAAGTGTATTGCTCGAAATTGTATTCCTCAGACTGATACAATTGTTAAAAACCAGTCGATGCTTCTCAAAAAATTCTCAAAAACAGAACAGATTATCGGTTAACCCTTCGATCATAACACGATAAAACAGAATCACGAACAAGTTAACCAAATGCAAGAAACCAGCTTTTACTATTTGAGTCATAGTTCGTCAAAATCGTATCCATCATCGTTATTGTATCCCTCGTTGTAATTGCATTCTTCATCATAATTGTACCTGCTATATTCGTCGTTTGCAACATATGTATCATCTTCATAGCTTTTTCCGGCTTCAACCTCTTCACTGTATGTATTTTCACGTTCGAGCTCCTCATCATGACTGCCTTCAAAACTATTCCTTCTCTGATTCGACAGCCGCTCATCACCACGACTGCCACAATTAGACTCCGTGCCTCCTTCAAATCCAGGACAATTAGACTCCGTGCCTCCTTCAAATCCAGGTCCCTGAAAAACAGACGGAGAAAAAGGTCAGATTCAGCAAATTCGGGATACATTGAAAAGTTCTAAAACCTACTAGGATGGAACTACATTGCAAAATCAGTATAGATGGCCAAGAAACTATTTTTTTTTTTTTTGAGAAGAGATGGCCAAGAAACTATTAACCAGAAAACGAGATAAAAAATTTCCTATTTCCTGAAGTCTTCCATTAGCTGCCCGATTAACGAACGGCCTGTATAATTGATCATTCTAGTAAAACACCAGACTGATTTTCAGATACCATTGTCAAGCCTTAATCAATCCTTAATCACCATCTTCTAAAGATCACGGTTTTACGCATTAAGTTTTATCCTGCCATAGTTTGCACAACTCTGATGGACCTTTACCCACTAAACAGAAATTTTGGTGTCTGCCCACCGACCACATAAACATACTAATATTTGACCTTTCAAAAAATTAACGAATTAACGAGCAACTAGACCTTAAATATTTGACCCTTCAAAAAAACTAGACCTTAAATGTTTGATATAAGCATAATACAAGGAATTGCACAGCCATGAGTAAGGCAAGAATGATTCTAAAATAAGCCAGCGAAAAAGATACTTACAAGGTCTTCATTTAATTTCTTCAAAGCATCGAAGTCGATTTTTGAACTCAGCCTCTGCAACAAAAAAAAAATGCCACGTTAGTAATTGTTGAATAATACAAGTATATGACTTAAAAAAAGCCTATCCAGTGTATCCACCGGCTAATTCACTTACCTCCTTATTATTCATCCCAGTAGAAACTTTGGCGGCTTTTTCTAGAGGTGCTGCTTTCTTGGCTTTTCTGGCTCGTTTTCTACTCTTTCCCTACCAAATTTTACCGTTGTATGTAGAAAATTAGAAATCAATGATTAAGACTCAATGCTGGCAGTAAAACAAAGACAGATAACAAAAGAACAAAACTAAAAAATAAATCAAATGCAAATAAGATTAAAAAAAAGTTTAAAACATTTAACCAGTATCCAAATACTACTTTGGAAGCAGGTGTGACTCCAATAACAGTTGATAATTTAGGCAAGAACAACAAAAAATGGCGAATAAGCTGAATGAATCTTCCAAAGCATAATCTTTAGAGTACAATGCACAAATGACAGTCTAGAATATACAAAGATAAACTCAAGGGGAGTGAAGATTTGGATGAACCACACAGCTAGCCACATGACGTGATTTAATGAATCAATCCAAGGTTTAGTTAGAACGTCCTACTTTAAAAGGAATAACGTTACTGCAAAGAAATGCATAAAAAAAAGTGCAAGCAAGACACCAGTCCTAAGACATGTACACTATCATTCTAACACAACAGATTACGAAACCTGAAATTGGCATTTGGTGGGCTTTTCAGATTCAGAACTGGCTGTTTTATGTGTTTAGGGTCTTAAAAGAAGTATAGTTTGTAGATTAGCCATAGTTTCAAAGATTAGGACTAAAAAACAGGTTAATTGTCCGGAAGACAAAGGATTGTTGCATATTTTAGTTATCAGCATGCCTTTCGAGTTTGGGGGCTAAAAGTTAGAGAAACCAGAAAGAAAAGAGAGATCAAAGATTAGGGTTTTTGAATCAAGCATGAAAAGAGAGACTATAGAAGTACAAAGAGAGAGAATTGAGTTAAGAACTTCCCAAAAATCACTGAGCTAAAGAGTAAAGGAAGAATGAAGAGGCAAAGAGTGGAAGGGAGAAAACCAGAAACCCCTACAAAGAAAATGTATACTAATACGGTCATGATCATATGCAAAATCTCATGGATCGTTCACTCTGAACAGTCGTGACCAACAAAAACATAGACGAAAAAGAAGAATAAAACCATCGAAAAACAGAAACTATGAAATCCCCTAACATTGCACCAAATCCTTGTGAAAACAAATGTGTCAAAACTTACAAACTTGCAAATGCATTACCTGATCGTAGTCCTTGTTAAGTACCTCCCAAATGATTCTTTTAAACCGCGCCGCCTCCTTACTGTTAAGGTACCCAGCAACCTAAAAAACAGAAGCATGAGTTCTTCCATATCGAAATTCACAAACGCAAAACAGAGGCAACAATCACATACGAACCTAAATCGCTATACCGACTACCGAGTAGGGTACGATGGAAGTGTTCTCTGATGGGCAAGTGGGTATAACTTTCAGGATCTCTGCATTTGTCTTTCATTAGATTTTTCCCCTTAATTATCAGACATGAAAAATGTGGTCGATTGTCATGAACCAAGAACGAATCTTTTCACAATAACAACGAAAGACAATTGCAACAACATCGACACGCAAACTAAATTATTATTTATCATCGAAAATTTTGAACACCTACCTTAAATTCATCAGATTATGGAACACGGGCAGACACAATTCATCGAAAACAATTCAGAAATTTGAAAAGAAGAATAAGAAAGCATCAAAGCAATGCATGCATTGTCTGCATACCTCGGAGTCGTCGATATCAGAGAGGCTTTCTGAGACATGGCCATCCGCAGTTGACATCGCCGCTTGCCGCCTTCTTCTGCAAGCTCTCGATCGGTTCTTTTGAACTTTATGTAAATTTAGGTCTTGGGTTTTCCTGTTTTCGTGGAACTATTAATGTCGGCGACCAAACATAAACTTGTTTGAGTCTCCGAACGAACCCACCTAGTTCGGCTTCCTTGTTAGAATTGGATGGAATGAATACTGATCGCCGGATTCTCTTTACGAGGATCTTGGAAATTCATGAATTGTATCAGTTTATCGCACATTATGCGATCGTAAATTATTTAAAATTAAACATAAATAGTATTTGACAAAAACTAACTTACGATATACGATGAATAAATACAATTCATAAATTCTTAAGATCCTCACCAAAAGACCTGGAGAGGATCCCATTGGGGATGGAATGCTCGACCCCATGTTTTTTTTCAAGTTTTAACAAAAAGTCTGCGGTACTGTTTATTTTAACTAAAAATCATATTTTTACATTAAAAAGTTAAACTTGGTACTATTCACTTTACCCTTTATTTTATCTTTATCGTTAAAATTCAAAGTTTTCAAACCATTTTCATTAGTTTTCTTTGTTTTTTCAAAGCAAAGATTCAAGTTTCATTTTTCTTAATTTTTATTTTTGATGAAAAAGGTAATCACACATTAAAAGCCCAAAGTCTAAA